CAGTGTATCACTGCTGCGGCGCGCAGCCCGACCCAAAAGATATCCTCACAACACATGCCCTCAGCCTTACTCAGTCAAAAATCACATAAGCCATTCGGGCAACAGTAAAACATGATGCTCAGCCCAAAATGTTATTTGAGATATCATTTCAAGTTTTTAAAGCAAAGTAAACTTTGCTGAGTTTTGAAAACAGTGAAAAATAACATGACTGAGTTCAAGTTAAAAGTCAAAACGGTGAGGAAATATCAATAAAAATCCCCGAAGGGTTCAAATGGCCCAATTATGGCATTCAACCCAAATAATGATGATAGCAAATAGTTTTCAATCAAATACGCGATAAAATCATCAATCGGGATGGACCAAGTTACAGTCCTCAATAGTGCACGACCACACGCTCGTCATCAAGCGTGTGTCTCACCTCAATATAGCACCTTGATGTGCAATCCGAGGTTTCTAACCCTCAGAACATCATTTACAATTATTACTTACCTCGAACCGACTAAATCTCTAGCTCGCGATTCCTTTATCCCTCGAATCGGCTTCCACACGCGTCGAATCTAACCAAAATCAGAACGAGGAAATCAAAATATGCTAAGGGATCGAAGCCCAAGCGAAAACAATCAATAAATGGCACAAATCCCGAAATTACCAAAACCCGGCCCCAGGGCCCACGTCTCGGAATTCAATAATTTTTACATCAATAGGTTCCTTATCTCCCCACGAGTTCATACATATCAAAAGTTCAGAAATCCGACCTCAAATGGTCCACCAAATCCTCAATCAAAGGCCTAACTTCCCAAGCCATAGTTTCCCCAATTTTCACCCTTAATTTCCATGATTCTAGCTATAATCCATGAAATAATAGCATAGGAACGAGTTTTAGGTCCAAAATCCTTACCTCAATGAAGTCTCCTTGAATTCCCTCTCTCAAATTGGCCAAAAAGCTCCCAAGCCAAAGTAGAAATGGTGAAAAATAGCTCAAAATCGTGAATGAAATAACTTATATGTTCTGCCCAGGCCTTTCCGCATCTACGACACTTCAACCGCATCTACGGTACCGATTTTGCGGTTAAATTCTCTGCTTCTGCGGAAATCACTTAACTCACTATTTTTTCGCTTCTGTGATCCCTCATCCGCATCTACGACATCGCAGATGCGGTCCATCTCACCGCTTCTGCGGTTCCTAACTCCCTCAACACTTTCCGCTTTTGCGACTCGTCTCCCGCATATGCGGCGTTTCACCGGAAATACCATAAGCAACAAATTTTCAGCAGCTTCAATAACATCTCAACTTCTCCGTTAACCACCCGAAACCATCCCGAGGCCCCGGAGACCTCAACCAAAAGCACAAACATATCCCAATACATTATTCAAACTTGTTCCAATCATCAAAACATCTAGAATAACATTAAATCACCCAAAACACATCGGATTCAAGCCAAACTTTCTAAAATCTTCCAAATTACGCTTTCGATAAAAAATCCAACCAAATCACGCCCGAATGACCTGAAATTTTGCACACACATCCCAAATGACATAACGAAACTACTGCAACTTCCAGAATTTCATTCCGACCTCTATATCAAGATCTCACCTATCAACCGGAAAACACCGAAATCTCCATTTCGCCAATTCAAGCCTAAACCTTTCACGGGCCTCCAAAAGGTATTTCGATCACGCTCCTAAGTCCCAAATCAACTAACGGAGCTAACCAAATCATAGAAATTCTAATCCGAGATCATTTACAAACAAGTCAAATTTTGGTCAAAACTTTCAAATTTTAAGCTTTAAATTGAGAACTATTCTTCCAAATTCATTCTGATTAGCATGAAACCAAATCCAACGATTTACAAAAGCCATAATACACCACACGGGGCAAACCATGCCCGAGAGCTGACGATCAAAGTGTAAAAGCTCAAAATGACCGGTCGAGTCGTTACAATTATAGTTTGTTTGGTCGATATAGATTGGTTGTGTTGTTGATTTCGAAGATAGGTTTATTTTTGGATAGTCCCTAAACAAGGGAAATTTTGCCCGATTTTCTGTAAATTATCGATGAGGCTTACTAGGGAGCACTTGCTCCTAAGCGCCGGTCATGATCCTAAATTGGGTCGTGACAGAATAAAATAAATATTTCATTTCGATTAATGCCATTTTAATTAGAAAAACTCCACATTCCTTCGGAAAAAGGAGGTGTGACAATCAATGAATAATTAATGCCTAAGTTGCTAAAAGTAGGAGATTAGGCAAATCTTATGAAACGCAGCATGGCCCATAATTATTGGCTATCGAAATATATAGTAAAAACCGATTGACTGCGTCAAACTTTGATGAATAAAGATTGGTGGTGACAGGAGCTAACATAGGTCTTGCGGGCGACGCAACCCATTAACTTTTGCCCAAGCCCTATATTTGTCTTAATTGTTAATTTAAATTCCCATAACTTAAATGGACTAGAATTTGAAACCTATAAGATTCAAATTTGTGCTAAGCCTCTGGATGGTGACGTGGTCGCCAAGCTCGTGTTGTATACTCTTGGCACATTCATGATATGGGCTGTTACAATTAAATGTGAAAAGTTCATAAGCAAGATGTTCAGTAAATTATTCATATGGTTAAACTTCAAAGGTTTCCGGAGATTTCTGCTAACAAAACTAAAACAAAATGAATTAGGTTTAATCCTAACCAATTAAGCGGTGATCTGTATATCTGTGGAAAAGGTTCTACTCTGCAAAACATAAATCTGCTAAAAAAAGCAGAAAGAAAGGGTCACATAAGGCAAAAGTGATAAGTAAAACTTAAAAGCAGGTCAATATCATCTACATATTAATTTGCATGCTTTTTGCTCTGCTAGAAGTTTTGTCTTAAAGTAGGGGATGGATTAAATTTTATATTCATCACAGGAGAACGTCGAGGCAGATTATTTTGATGGAAATTTGAAATTAAAGAAGTGTATCATAATTCCTTTCTATTTTGATGTAGAGAGAAACAGAGTCACATGCATGGGCAGAAATTTCTTTGTCCTTTAAAACATAAATCTTTCTTCAATGTTAGCAAGAAAAAGTCACATAGGCATAACTATATATGGATACAAGAAGAACATCCTTAAGAAGAATCATAGACTGCCAATCCATCATTAACGAATTACATGATTATACATTTATTGTAATAAGATAATCACAAAATAGTATATCTTTCACTAAATTTTCAACCTTGAAATTCATGTAACAACAAAAACAACAACAATAACGATCCAGTAAAATTCCACTAGTGAGGTCTGAGGAGGGTAATGTTAGGACCGAAAAATCAGGTGTCATGCGGAAGCTAGCAAAGCAAACCTTGAACGACGATAAATCATACAACACAAGAGAAATATATCAAAAGAGACGCAAACATATAACGTGGTTCGGTCAGCTGACCTACATCTACGGCAGAGATGAGCAATCCACTATATAAAAAGAGAGTACAAAATATTGAGAGAACAACCTCACGAAGAGGCAAACACAAGTGACACACTAACACTTGTCCCGTAAAGTTCTCCCCCTAAACACGATTCTCAAACCCCATATGGCTACATTGTGGATGCTGCTGAATGAGAAGGAATGATCATCAATTTATAGAAGTCCAAACCTTTTCCTACAAGAAAAAAGACTAGCCAAGTATAGGAGAATTATAATTTCCTTCTACAAAAAGGAAAACCATATTAAGGTAATTATATTGCCCTTTCCTTCAACAAATAGGAAAATCAAATATGGTAAAAAAGTTATGGCAAACACCTAACAGGTAGTATGTATGCAGACCTTAAAGATTAGATTATATAATACTTTTGAGGGAAATCTTACTTGATCAATTCTTTAATATTTTCATCATTTATCTCTATATTCTGATGGCAGGGAGAAGCATATTACATGCATTAATATCTTTGTCCTGCAAAACGTAAATGTGCTCCAAAATTAGAAAGCAAGGGACACAGTCAAATCCATTTCTAGTAACCGTGTGTTAAAGAAGATTTGTGCAATAATTTATATATAAGCAGTTCAAATATTAAGAATGTGGGGACCAATTTAATTAAATGGCTGTGGAATTTGATAATAAGCATATCACATGCATCGACTAACCTAGTATGGGATACCATTTAATATAAGCTGACTGCTAAGTTTAGTTCTATTACAAAGACCAACTGGTTGAAGTTATGATCTCAGTGCTTATAAAAAGGCTCTATATCTTACGGTTAAAAAACAATAGTTCATGAACTAGAATATTAAGTTAGTACACATATTAGAGTATGGACACATTGATGTACATTGAAAGATACAATATTTAAAGATATCATCTATGTACTTTGGAATATGTGAAGTGTAGACATGATTAGTGTATTTACATGTACTCTAGGCTAACTCTTCTTTGGAAGATTTGAGTATTATTTTGTGTTATATTGCTTTCCCAGTTTTTCTAACAATATAAACCACATTAATCCCAAACATTCAAGAATTAATATAGTATATTTTTTTCAGCAGAAATAGGCTATATACATTCGCTAAATTATTTATAATCTTAAAATTCATGTAAAATTCTGTTAGATAATACTTTTGAGGGAAATCTTACTTGATCATTCGATCTTAAAAATTTTGGTTATTCATGTCTGCTATGATTGTAGAGTCACATGTATAGGCATTAACATTTTTGTCCTGCAAAATATAAATGTCGTCCTAAATTAGAAAGCAAGAGTCATATATTCAACAACATTTTTAGTAACCAAGTTAAAGAAGATTTGTATACTATTCGTTATAAGCAATTCAAATAAGTGTGTGGGGGACCGATTTATTTTATTTGCTGTGGAATTTGAAAATAAGCATGTCACATGCAGAGACTAACCTAATATGGGATATAACCATTTAAGAAAGCTGGCTGCTAAGATTAGTTCTATAATTACAAAGACTTACTGGTTGATGTTATAAAAAGGCTTAGCACTCCTTTCTTTTTTCCTATTTACAGCTTTTCAAGCTCTAAGTGTTCAACTTCTTCTGCTTCTTCAACGTAACTTCAAGTCTGACTTTTGGAATGGCGAAACTGATGGATTTTAACTTAGTGCTCATGGCTGCAGTGCTTTGTACGTATCTTACTACTTCCTCTAATCTCTCTTTCTCTCTCAATATTATATGCTGTTTACTCTTAACTTTTGAAGTAAAGAAGCTTTATATTCCATCAAATTTCAAAGTTATATAAAAATTTAGTGATAAATTGCAACGAATGCAGAGTATTTTATTGACATTTAGACGTTACTTTGTTTAGTTTCCGTACTGTATCATTGGACGACAACTGAAGCGGAGGATCTCTATGTTAACACGACCATTCTCGATAGTGCAATCGCTAAAGGAGCAGGTGACAAAATGTTTCGAACATTTTGTTCCTCATTTATATTTAAACATTATCTTAACTTTTGTAGTTTGGAGATATTGTCTTTGGTTTTTCCGCTGATTGTGTTAATGTTTATTTATATAGTATGCTTGGATGGAAGTGCACCTGCATACCACTTTTATCCAGGAACTGGCTCTGGAGTTCATAGTTGGCTCATTCACCTTCATGTTACTTAATTAGGCATGCACAAATTATAATTTTTTTTTTTAATTTAAATTTTGGCTGATCTTCAACTCTGAGTTTCCAGGGTGGAGGGTGGTGTGAAACCACTTCCGACAGCAAATATCGTGCACACACGGACTTATCTTCGAATAATGCACCAATTGTAGCTCATTTTAGTGGAGTCCTAAGCAATGATCCTCAACTAAATCCAGGTGGTTAAATAGGTTATGTGTATTTATCATTTTCTTTTCCTTCTATAAGATATTGTGGGCTTGTGGCACTGAAAACTAATGAAAATATTTTTTTTTTTTTTGAATTTAGATTTTTACAATTGGAACCTAGTCAAGATCAGATATTGTGATGGGTCTTCATATACTGGCGATATTGAAGAAGTTGATCCAGTGTCAAAAATCTTTTCATTAATCGTGTTAGAATTCTTTGTCGATGTAACTTTCTAACTAGAAATGTCAACAAATTTCAGGATACAAACCTACATTATAGAGGAGCAAGAATTTTTGAGGCAATCATGGAGGAATTACTATACAGTAAAGGGATGATATATGCTCAAAATGTCCGTCTCAATTAAAATCATAGTCCTCTTATTTGTTAATAATTAAGTGGCTGAAATATAATAAAATTTTAAAATTTGATGACAAGCCATCCTTGGTGGAACTTCAGCGGGAGGGTTGGGTGCAATAATACATTCTGATAAATTCAAACTTTTTTTCCCATTGACTTTTAGAGTGAAGTGCATTTCTGATGCTGGTTTTTTTGTGAATGTGTATGTCACGACCCGGATTTCCCCACCATCGGGAGTCATGATGGCGCCTACTAACGGAGCTAGGCCAGCCAAATTTTAAACATTCTCTGATAACTTCTCAACAATAACCATATACGAAAGCAATTAAATAAAAAACGGAATAAAAACGGAAGACTTTTAGTTTATAAAACTGAAATTCAAATGCGGAAGTTTAAGACAAATCTCTACCCAAAATCTGGTGTCACTAACTCACGGACTGCTAAAGAGTGCTACAAACAAGTCTGAATGGAAAAACAAAATATCTGTCTCGGTACAATGAAGACAAACTAAACATGGAGAAGGACTTCGGCCTGCGAACGTCAGCTCGGCTACCTTGAAGTCTCTGGACTGAAGTCAGCTCCCGATCAATACGCTACTGCTGCGGTCCTAAAGCTGCTCCGGTACCGTAATCTGTGCAAAAAGCACAGAAATGCAGCATCAGCACAACCGACCCCATGTGCTGGTAAGTGTCTGGCATAACCCCGGTGAGGTAGTGACGAGGCTAGGACCAGACTCCAGATAAACCTGCGCAGATATATAATATATTGTGGAAAATAAACAGGAATAAGCAANGGAATGAAGTCAGCTCCCGATCAATACGCTACTGCTGCGGTCCTAAAGCTGCTCCGGTACCGTAATCTGTGCAAAAAGCACAGAAATGCAGCATCAGCACAACCGACCCCATGTGCTGGTAAGTGTCTGGCATAACCCCGGTGAGGTAGTGACGAGGCTAGGACCAGACTCCAGATAAACCTGCGCAGATATATAATATATTGTGGAAAATAAACAGGAATAAGCAATTTAAAATGGAAGGGGTACATTCTTCGGGGAAACATATCAAGACCAACAAAAGAAACTCGTTAAAATATGAAAGGACAGCTCAATACCTACAACGATACAATAACAATACTGTTGCGGCGCGCAACCAGATCCCTTATCATTTAACATTGTTGCGGCGTGCAACCCGATCCAAATATATATATATTTGTTGCGGCACGCAACCCGATCCAATATAATATCTGTTGCGGCGTGCAATCCGATCCAATATATATATATAGCAGTTGCGGCGTGCAACCCAATCCAATTCATTATCTTGTGATAGGCGTATCACCCGCTCCCATTTTATCATATCCTGTGGTAGGCGTACCACCCGCTCCCATTTCATTATCTTGTG